TTAAAAGAGTATCGATAAATTAACAGTTTATTTAATAACTATAACAATAGAATACTGCCTCAGTCAGCACTATATACTATACAATTATGTTAGAGGGATTAAACTAAACTATTATATAAACTATGAGTCAGACACACCACTAAGCTAAAAGAAATTATCCGCTATTTATATAAAATGAAGAATATAAAGTTATCAAAGATATAAAAGAAATAAATATAATAAATAAAATATATGAAATAAATAATATATAATAAATATATGAGATAAATAAGATAAAATAAATAAAAGAAATATATTGTATAAAAGAAATATATGCTATAGATAACATAAATGATATAGAAGACATATATGATTTCTTTAGGATCGACGTCATTCTTTAGATCATCATTATCTATGTCTTCTTTTATGTAACAATATTTATTACCTTTTATAAAAGATTTGAAGGAAAATATTTCTTATATTTTTCAAAATAATAATACTCATATATATAGAGCAAACATAGTATTTGAATGAAAAGAAGAAAATTTAATATCTTCTATTCTATGACTGTCTAAAGTTTAGAATTTAATTCAATTGAGTATTTATAGAAGCATTTAAGGAGAGTGCATAAGTATATCAAAAGCAAAAAATAAAGTAAAACTTATTACAGTTTTAATGGAAGAGTGGTTTAAAATTAAAGAATTTTATTTAGAAAAATTAGTAAATAGTATGCTAAGTAATGTTAAAGTTGTAATTAAAAATAAAGGAAATTCCACTTAGATAATCTGCTAAAATTTTTAATTTTAATTAGAAATCTTATCTAGAAAATTAAGTAAAGATCTTTATTATAATAAATATTTTAATTATAAATATTTTAAAATTAAAAAACTTTATTATTAAATATTTTTAATTATAAAATTTATTAATTATTATTATTTATAATAATATTAGCTTTCTTTTTTTAAATAATTAAAATCTTTTAAAATTTATTTAAATTAAAATATAAAACTTTATTTTTTTTTAATTAATATAAAACTTAATGGTTTGTAATACTTTTATTTATTATATTTTATTTGATTTGATTAAATAGATTGATAATAAAATAAAAAATTATATAATATAATTATTTTTATAAATATAACTATTTTTTTTTATAGAGGATTAATAATATAATATTATAAAAATTATTAATCTTTATTAGTAATAAAATATTTTAATTAATATATAAATATAAAATTTAAAAAAAAATTGGCTATAATAAATGTTTTAAAATTTTGATTTTAAAATTAGTTTTTTTCTTTTAACAAATAAAAATATTTTAATTGAAAATTATGATACTTAATTATTATTAATAATTTATGTAAATGCTAATTCATATTTGATTTTTTATAATAAAGCCGATAATATTTATAATTCATAAGATTTATTATTTAAATTCATAAATTATTTAAAATACATTAAGTAAGTTATTTAAAATATGATTAAAATCAATGTTATATATATATAAGTTTAAATTAAAAGATTTGTTTTGATTATCGATATCAAACTTAAATATCATCCTGCATAACCTGTTTTTTTACGAAAAAGCCTACCCTCCTAGTTTCAATTTCTCCTAAACTTAAACTAGTAAAATGTCAAAAAAAAATTTTTTTTTCCTTAAATTGAAACACATAACCTAGACTAGTTTCGGTTTTCGGTTACGCCTAAACACAGTTTCGGCCGGGTATTCAAGAAAATTTTTGGGCTTTATAATTAAATGATATTACATATCATCTTCAGCCTCTAATAATTAAATGATATTTTGTAAAAATAGTAATAATGTTTCGTGTATTTTTGTGACGTATTACATAAGCAATATCATTTTTTTTTTAATTTACCCGTTCCCAATGATTTGGATTTCATTATAAATTTAGGTCAACAACAACAGACAGAACATAAAGGTTATGCAAGGTGTTGCATGATACCATTGATGCCATTATGGTACACACACCTTTCGGGAAATCACTTATATGAAAAAGAAACAATACTATTTGAATCTCACCCCTCATTAAGATTATAGAAAGTTGGCTGTGACACGCAAATAATGCTACCTAGGGCTTCATATTGTTTATAAATTCTCAATCAATAAAGAAAACTTGAAAATAAAATGGCAAGAACCGAAATTAATCCGTAATCGAGACAACCTTGAGATCCAATTTAGAATTTATATAAATTTATATGTTTTGCTAAAAACGAATATTTGAATATGGTGTAACCTATGCATCACCAATCTTAAATGATTTACTATGATGCTAAGCCATAAAATAGAATTTAAAATACTTAATTTAAAACAAAATTCTTATATAAATGGAGATTATCAAAAATGGTCGACGCGACTAATCTTTTTATTAAACTTTATTGAAAAAAACATTACCATTTTAACCATTTCAGTATTAAAGCTAAAACGTGTGCTAGTCGTGTATATTCGTGTAACGTGCGATTTATCCTTCCAAGCCTCTATGCTAATACTCTTATAGTAGTTTGAGTCAGATAACGCGTTCAGGATACTAAACTTCATTTGTAAAGCGTGTACACATTCCAAATCAAGAAATGGATGTTTACTTTTTGATTTCGACATATTTTTATATAAAATGGATTGCAATTCATTTTTTTTTTTTCATCTCACAATTCTATTTGAGAACTTTACAAGGTAAAAACACTAGGTTAAATAAAACACGAAACATTTATAAAAAGTTTGAAACTAACTTTTTGTTTTTACACAATATGTTAGAAACCTTAAATAATAAAAAAAAAATTTATAATTTGCTAAAGGAAACTAAGAATATTAAAATTATATTTCCTTGTAAAGTGATATTATCTATATAAACTTTAATAATCGCACATTCCTTTGTTTTCTAACTTCATAAAATTATATTTATAATCAAAAGAAAAGAAAGATGGAACGACTGTCAACCGAAGTTTTACATGAGATTTTCCTTTACCTTAAAGATGAATATAGTTCGGACGATTTATTCTCCGCTTTGATGGTAAACCGAAGATGGTGTAAAATAGTTATACCGATTCTATGGGAAGCTCCATTCAACAAGCAAAATTATAACAAACAACATTCAAAATGCATTCGAACTTATTTGTCGAACGCCGAAGAAAAGTTAACCTCGGTATTAATAGCGCACGGAGTGAATTTATCTTCATGTTCAAAAGGAACCATATTCGATTACGCATCATATTTACGTCACCTCCCATTATTGGAATTATTACAAAATATAAAATATTACTTCCTATCACCAGCGATGCTTGCGGATCCATATAAACAAATGGAGGATGATAGTTATTTTAAGAACATGTTAGTGTTTGCTGTGTTATGTATATTATTTACCAATCATAGCACTTACATTCGTACTTTGAGAATCGTGAACGATCCGGATTTACATCCTTTAAATGTCGTCATGGCTCGACTTTTAAATCTTTCGGGTGCAACTATCAGCTTGAGCGGTTTACAGTATTTCCAATGTCATAGTTTAGTCAAAGAGGATGTCGCTCCATTGTACAGGGATATGGCGGAGGTTTGTAAAGGTGTGGTTCGAATGGATATCAATTCGGTGGCACGTTCAGAAGAGGAAGCATTATCATCACTTATCAGAGCTCAAAAGAACTTAAAGTATTTAACGATAAGATCCGAAGAGATTAATTTTATACCAGCGATGGAAGCCATTCGATCACAATCCGCTTCGCTTATTAGACTTAGACTTGAATGTTTATTCTTGGATGTTGCAACTGATGAAGCTTTGGATGCTTTCAAATCTTGTAGCAATTTAAGATCCCTTATACTGCGGAATTGTTACGAATTGGAATGTCCACGTGTTCTAGAGGTTTCGAAATCATTTCCTTTACTTGAAGAATTTTACTATGGTGGATGTTTTGAAATGCCAGAGGATTTTATAACAGGAGTTCTTCAAACGGCCAATGGTAATTTACGAAGGCTAACTTTAAAAGATTATACACCAGGTGTTATAGTCGCAATTACTACTTATTGTAAAAATCTTGAAGATTTATTTTTGTTGGATCTAGATGATGAGGAAATCTTGTCCATCTTTCGTAATTGTACTAGATTAAAACATTTTACATTTAATGGGGGAGATGGGCTTGAAGCTGATGATTTATTTAGAAGATTGGCGACTTGTGTACCAAAAACATTAGAATATATGTGTATTATTATGGAACTTAAAGAACCTTGGATCTTTAGTGCTGGAGCTTTAAAAGACTTTTTGGATGTTGCAACAAGTTATTCATTTAAATATTTCACTATAAATCATCGAGATTTTACTGATGATGATGATGAAATAATAAATTTTCCCGAATACGCTACAATGACAACGTTTAATAATAAACATTTGGAGGAAATAAGACAGAGTGGGATTAATTTCCACACTCATTGTGGATATGTTTTGGCAGAGTATCCGGATTTTGTCTCTGAAATAAACATTCCAGGTAAGAGTTTCCTGATTTTTTGGCTTGTGAATTTATTTATTTTTTTTTTTTGTCTTCGAATTTATTTAACACTGCTCATAACAATGTAGATTTGCGAGAGGTTCCTTTGTTCAAAAGATGGTATCATGTTCTAGGTCAAAGTTGGACAGAAAGATTGATTCATTCATTGTAAGTCGTTGAATGTTGTTTTTATGTGTGATATCAATTGAAAATACTAATGACACTTTCTCATCGTAATCAGATGATCGTAAAATAATAGATAATTCATTAATAACTAATAGAGTAGTTCGATCATTTAAAAAAAAAGCTTAATTAATAAAAAATTTTAATTACAAAATTCAAAATAAGGTAATATAAAGAACGAATAGTAAATACAATAAATAGATTTATCCTTTTAAGAAAGGAAACCAAAAAGATAACCATTCAAAAAGTCTGCTAAGAAATTATGATAATATTTACAAATTTTTTTTTTTTAAAAAAATTATCTCAACCCCCATACTTTAATATTAATTTTCACCTCCTATTTAATTTAATTAATAATAAACCCAAGTTAAATTCCAAAGATTATTTAAACTTAATTCTAAATCAGATAGAGTTAATTTTTCTAAATTTCTATCAATAAACCAATGACATTGGACATAATTTCCGTTCAACAAAATTTCTTTTATGGCTTTTTTATACTTTCCAATACCCATAATAATAATTTTATCTAATTTAGATTTTACATTATACCCTTGAGTGCCATCATTCATTTTCTGATCACATCGATCACATCGTGTCATTAATGCAGAACTATTTTTTACAATAAAAGTTGTATAAGTAAAATTATTACCAATGTCAATATTTTCACCATCATCCACATAAAGAGTCCCTTTAGCATCTCCTTCTCCATCTAATGCCACAATCAGATAATAATTATTTCTTTTAGTAGCAGCGGTAGTTAATTCGGGATACTGCATAGGTAAGATATTACCACCCCTAATCAATATGGGTAATACTTCTAACGGAGCCCATAAGTCGACATATATTCCATCAAGATTAGTAATATTAAAGCTTAATTTTTCAGTATAATAATCATACCACAGTCCTGGAGGGATAAGCGCTTCAACAATGGTTTGTTGTGGACTCAACACTGGTGATAATAGTAACCCGGACCCAATCATGAATTGTCGATCGATTAACAATGCATGTTTTGATGATGGAAATTCGAAGAAAAGTGGTCTCCATACTGTCGAACCTTTTGAATGCGCTTCATAAAATAATGTATAATAATATGGTAGCATAGAATATCTGATATTCAAAAACTTTCGTGATACTATTGCTACTGAAGGCCATAAATATGGTTCTTGACCAGGTTCTAATAATGCATTATGATTTCTCATAAACGGATAAAAGGATCCAAGTTGCATCCATCTTAAACACAATTCTTCGGTTGCAGCTCCACCAAATCCACATATATCAGCCCCAACCAATGGGATTCCAAATATCTATTTAATTAACCGGAGAAGTATTGTTAATTTAATAGCAACCTACCAAAAAAATTGGCAACTTTTATTAACACAACCTGAAAGTTAAGGATCCCGGGTATAGAATAGTAAAGGTATGACCACTAAAATCGAAAATATTAAATATCAGTAAATAATAATTTATATGTAATTCAATACTAATTATTCTTACTCACATTTGACCAGTTGTCACCTGTCCAATGACCAGCATATTTCCCAGTACCTGCAAAATTAGATCTAGTGATAATGAATGGTCTCTTTCCTTTCCTTATTCTTTTAGACAAAATATTATATGTAATCATGCTTTCCATATGACCAAATAAATTATGAACATCATACTCCAAGAATCCATTATGATGAACGGCATCCATTGCCAGTGTCGATTCATCTAATGGTAATCTTACTGCCCCATTATTAATTTTATACGGTGGATTTCTTAGATTACGAGATCGAGTCTTAGTGGAGATGTAATTGTCAATTTGTTCCAAGCAATGCTCGTGCGGGGGTGACAGTTGAATATCGTCACTTGATATTGTTTTTCTTTGGATACATTCTCCTCGACACCAACTCGAAGGCTCATTCATGTCTATCCACAATCCATCAACCATAACATTTTTCAGCCATCTTTCCAACATATCTCCCCAATAAACAGGAGTATCTTCATTGAACCAATCAGGAAATACTGTTAATCCTGGCCAAACGCGTCCTATGATATTTTCCTCTTTGTAATTTTTGATGAAAACATTTCTTCGGATCCCTTCATCATAAGGATAATATCCTGCTTCAATCTTAATAGCAGGATCAACAATAGCAACATAATGTTGTTCATCCTCATGTAATTTTCTCAAAAACTTAACCATTTCGTCACGTGGGTAATTTGTGGGATTCCATGTAAAATCTTTGAAACCTTCCATATAATCTAAATCTGTCCATATCGTCTCCAATGGAATATTATAAGATTTAAACTTCGATACCACCTTTTCTAATACTTTCACACTATGATATCCCCATCTACACTGATGATATCCAAGAGCCCAGTATGGTGGAAGTGATGGCCTTCCAACAACCTAAAAATAATATGATTATTATTATGATTATTCATTTAATCTCTCTTTAAATTAATTTTATAAATTTCTTACTTCCGTGTATTGAGTGACAACGTCTGAAGGTGTCGGTCCAAGAAATATATAAAAGTCGAAAACTCCTCCGATAACTTATAAAACATATAGTGTCGATATATATCATTCGATATCAAATAAATAATTATCAAAAAAAATTTTTTTTTAATTACCTTTCCAATTCAATTTAGCGGGATTTCCCGGCGTGATAGTCACATCCATTCCATTTGAATTTCTCAAAAACACACCATGAGCAGTGCCATTTCTTATTTCCAAATAAAATGGTTGCGCTCCATAAATATTTTCAGATACAGGATTAGCAGCATCTCTATTCCAAATGGTTTGAAAAGTGCCACGAGGATCTCTTCGAAGTGAATCTACTACTTCACCTAACCCATAAATAAATGGATCTTGTGGTAGCTTAAATGTAATTTCCATGTATTGATCTTCAAAGACCAATGAATTCATTCCAGGAACATCAGTATCAATAATGTTTTCTCCTGTATCAGCTCGTGCAATAGAAAAGGTGAAAGGATTTTCATCATATATAAAATGATAAAGCAGATCACTGTTAATAGATTCCGATAATGGAATAGGAACAATTTCTTCAGGCACTTCAAATCTCCAGTCTTTTGGATCATAAATTTTTACGTGCAACCGTTCCGCAGTCTCATACTAGGAATTTTAAAAATGTTTAATTTGTAAATATAAACGCGATTTTTATTTGTTTTTGATTATACTATACCTCTACGAGAAACTTTAGATGCCTTGAATCATGCCCATATAAGCCACATCCAATTCCATTCAACTCGAGATCCGCAATAAGAACGCGACCATTGCCCCGATATTCTACATTAACCACCTTATATCCTTTACAAGGTTGACTCTTATAATAACAGTAATTTCCACCAATAACGTCTGTAGGATTCCAACAACAATTTAGTATGTTAATACATTCAAAAGCCTGTATTCCCCTATATCCACAATCAACTCTGGTAGCAGGGTCAATATCACATGAATATGGATCTCCCTTCTTATAAAAACACCACTTATCTTCTGCATCTTCTGATGGACGCCAACAACAAAACCTCGATTCACATTGTTCTTTATTTATACCAAAATAACCACAATCGTATCTGGCATCACTTATCGAACAAATGTTTATTGATTCATTTATTGAATTTATTGAATTGTTGTTTTTTGATATTTCTATCGAATTCGTAAATGTAATATTTTTTTCACGTATAATGGAAGTTAACCATGGTAATATCGAAAAACAACTAAATAATATTACGAAAAGTGTTGTCATTGCTTTTAAAATGTTAAAACGGAATTTCCCTGAACATAATTTATAGATAGTAGATTGCTATTTTCACTAGACAATGATTTTGACCAATTTGGTGCAAAAAAATCGGTCGATCCAAATTAAATTATCTATCCAATCCCCATCGGATCCTCCGGTTATCTGAGTTTATATTCACATCTTGCGTTTGTAGAGATCGGCAAACATGTGACTAAAGTCTTTATAACGCAACGAATTGATCATAATAAAAATTTGAAAGTTGTTCAATATGTCTGAACTGTATAATAATTCGGAAAGCGATAAAAAAAAAGCACAATTGCTTTTCCTTTTAACCTTTGTCCTATCTAATAAAGGATATGCTTCAACACACAATTTGTTGGCACCTGTACTGGGAAAAGTCCATGCGAAATTTCCAACACCTGTAGAGTTTAAGGCTGTGTCCAAGTAGTCTTCAAATAATTTTGAAAATTTTATTTTTTAGTTGATCAATTGTTTTGGTTGTTAACGTAAATTTCTGCGTATAGTTGTAAACCGCATAGCCATAATACACCCCTATCGACAATTATCTGTTTACATAAAGACTGTTTGCCGCAAACTACACGTGCAGGATTATCTGCCTTCGTACAAGTGTTCTCCATTTCAAATGTAATCGAATTTCTGATTCATTTGCCCGGAATACTTAAAAGGAAAAAGAGGTTCGTAAAGTGTTAGATCTCGATTTTAAAGGACTTTTTTATATAAAGTTTTCCTAAATTTTTTTTTTTAAATTGGTAGTATAAACCAAATTATAAACGGTTTACCAATGGATTCATCTGCGCGACTTGCATTATCAGTTTCAACATACGTGATTATATATAAAAGCCTAGTTCGGTTTTTTATGCGCTTATTTGATCCATTGCTCCGAAAACCATCTTCATTTGATGATATAGTATGTTCTCCACTGGTGCCACCTTTTTTGGCTGGGTTATTGGCTGGTCCCGCATTGCTTATTGACGGGGATCAACCTCGCAGAATAATGATTTCTGTATATATTTTGAGCAAAAGTTTACAATTTACTTATAACGCACTTAGACAAAATAGAATTATTCCTAAAATGCCTTGGTGGTGGGGTTCTTGGTTATTGTTTCCGATTAGCTCTTCTCAATTAATTTCCGCCTATTTGTTACATCCTGACATATTCCCTGTAAGTAAATTTTTTTTTTAAAGATTATTAATTTTGGAAAACCTTTTTTCAAAAAAAAAAAAATAAAAGTTTTGACATTTTATATTTTGTAGAGTAGCTACGATAAGTTTATTACAAGTCGGAGTAAAATATATATAAATCCAAGACCAAGCGATTTCCCTGACACAATGCCTTGGCCAACTGGAAGAGAGATAGTTGATCGTATAGCAATATTATCTTCGCTCTACTTCCCTGAATTTTATTCACCTAAACTTCATGGTAGAGATGTGCCTCCACTTCCTGATAATTTAAAGCCAATTCAACCGATATGGGAAATCGCTCATCCTGCTCACTCAAAAATGATGTGTGCTATGTTGCATCACGATGAACCTAGTTGTTTGGTTACTTATACAAAATTTATTGCAAAAGAAGGTGTTAATTCTCTTAAATTCATGGGAATGATTTATACAATTTCTTTACTCTTCCGTGGAAAATCCTTAATTGAGAGGTTGGTGATGAAAAAAGTTATTTTTGAAATTATTTCATTTGATTACATATCAATTTTTTTTTAATTGAATTTATTTTAATAGACCTAATGAGATCATAACTCAAGTATTAAATAATGCGGTACCAGAAATATTTAAAGGAGCAACGTTTATAACCATGGCAATTGCTACGGCATGGGCATTAATTTGTGGTTTTCAAAATGTACTTCCAAATAAGTTCATGCCTATCTCAAGGTAAATCACCTTTTTTTGTTTGATTTTTATATGAAAGTTTGTATTAATTACTTTCTTTTATTTAGGATATACCTCAACGGATTTATCTCAGGATTATGGGTTCTAGTAGAGAGCCCTAAAAGAAGATTAGATATTGGAATGTATAGTTTGAGGTTATCAATTGAATTACTTTGGAAATTGCTGGTTAAGAAAGGAAAGATTAGGAATATAAGGTATGTATGAATTTTTATTTTATAATTTGAATCTTCATAAACGTTGACAATTGTTAAATTCAATTTTCTATGGAAAAATAGAAATGGCGAAGTTATTTATTTTTCATTGGCTATGGCAATGATTATGACAATTTACAAAAATAAACCAAAGAGTATATCTAGTCCTTACATTAGAATTGCTTTATCGAGATTGCTTGGAGAGTAGTTTTTAGAAGTCGGATATTTCAATTAATAGGCACGTGATAGATGTTTTTATTTATATATATAAAATGAACCTTCGTTTAATGAGCAAAAATGCGATTCGGAATCAAAAAAAAAAAAAAAAAGTTATTTACACTTACAAATAGTATTTGCTCTTTAGTATATTAATAAAGTTGTACATCATAAAACTGTGTATTTCCCGAAAATTTCAGCAATTAAAGAAAATTTTAGTTATAATTGAGTGTTGAATTTTTGGTTATTTTATCATAAAATATAGCTTGGATTGATTTATAAAAAAAAATTATAAATCAGATTTAATTACATTATATAGGTTGAAAAGTTAAGAAAGGATCAAAAAATTTTCAAAAAAAAATTTTAAACTTTAAATCATAAATATATTATAAAAAGTTATTTATTAATATAAATTTTTTTTTTTTTAATAATTAGTAATTATTATCAACAATTTTTATATAAAAATTAAAATTTAAATTTAGTTAAATTAAAATATTTTTTTAATTTTATTAAAATGTTTTATAATTAAAAGAAGAAAAAAACAAAAAAATTTATATATTAAATATAATTTTTAAAATATAATATTAATTCAAAAAAGTTTTTTTATAATTTTTAATTTTTAATAAAAATTTAATTTAAATATATATATATTATATTTAAAAAAAAATTATAATAATTAAAATTATAATAATATAATAATAAGGTATTATATATTTTATTGATTTATTTAAATATACATATATATTTTTATATAACATTTAAATTTAAATAGTAATAAACTTATTATGATTTTTATTTCAATTATTAAAAGTAATTTATTTGATAAAAATATTTAAATTATATTTTAAAATTATATTTTTACTTTAAAATTAAAAATATTAATAATATATTTTAAAAGCTATAAATTTAAGAAGTAATAATTTAAATCCATTAATTAAATTATAAGTTTATATTATAATTATACTATAATAACTAAAAATTCAGATTTCAATAAAGATATAAAACAATGTGATTTAAATATGCTGGTATATAATAAAATATAAATAAAATTAAATTATTAATCATTTAAATACTAATATATTTAATTTATAATATACATTTTATAATTTTTATATATTTAGTATTATTATAATTATTTTAAAATATTTTGTTTTAAAAAATATTACTTTAAAACATTTCTTTAATAAGAATTATTTTCTTTTATTTTCTTTTTTTTTGTTTATTTTATTTATTAAAAAATATTTTTAAGTATTTTTTAAAAAAATATTTTATTAAATAAATTAATTTAAATAAAATTTAATTTGATTTACCGTATTCTTTTAAAAATAAGCAACCTTTTTTTTATTGTAAGATTGCTTATTTTTGGATATTTTCAAAATTTTATAATATTTAATATATATTGCTTATAAAATTCATTTTAAAAAATTTCAAATTCAATCTCATGACTGTTGGTCACCTGTTTGTCACGTTTGATTGATATTTTTATATTTGATTAGCTATTGTCATGTAAAAATGCAAACAGAATTGCATTAAATACTCTATTCCAATTTATTTGTATACTTGTAAAATAAATGCTGCAATTTATAAGAAAAAGGATTATTAAGCGCATTTCATATTCTATTGAATAAAAATACAGGTAGTTACTAATAAACTGTTTAGTATTGATAATAAATATACACAAGCATTAATTGATCAACTACAAATTCCATTATGTATATCAGAAAAATGGAATAACATACTTTTATTATAACAAATCTTTGAATATCATCTCAAGAAAAGAACAAAATCTGACATTAATTGGCTTAGGTTTATTAAGAATTAGAAAAACCAACAAAGTGAAATTATTGAATTACAAACTTCTTTGATGAAAATATATAGATCTAAATATTAAATAAATTTGTGAGAACTTTATATCTGAAGGTCAATGCTTCGACATATAGGCTGTATAGAAATTACACCTTATAATAAAAATTAATTTGAGATGAGAAAATAAGTACAAATAAATAGTAATAACAAAATCTAGAATATTTATTTATCTATTTGAATTTATATTTATAGTTTGAATTTCGAACAACAATAAATTCAGATAAAGATCATGCAGCATTACAGAATTTGTATGATCTTAGTTTTTTTTATTCTGTACTAAACGAATGTAATCAGACTGAGACTTTTTGGAACTGTATTTAAGAATTATTAAATGTAAATAAAAAAAATTAAGATAATAAGAGGCGTATTCTATTAATTGTTACTGATTAGTTTTCATACATCAGTAAATTTAATAATGCGAAGTATTACGTAAACCCTACGCTTCGTAATCTTACGTAAGGTTACGAGCCCG